CCCGCGTTAAGCGGGGTCTTACTGTATTAGCTTTGGCTACCAGCACAGTAAATTCATTTCCTCTGGAGGCATCTATTGACTTTCTTTCCTTGTCAAAAACTGAAAGCTGCATTTGTTCAGGCAGCATTTGCTGCTCTTTGACTAATGTACATCAAGCAACTCTAATGGTTCAAAATCATTTGGATGTTATTTTGCTCATAATAATGTATTCTTTACATTTTGATATGTAATTAGCATATACACATGAATTTTGCTATAAGTATGGCCGTTGTAATCTATCAGATCACCAGTAGATGATTACAACTGCAGCTGCCATACATATTGAGCTTATATATTCTCCTGTTCAAACAACTTGTATAGTTTTAGCCATATTTGCCTGGCCATTCTGCTAATGGATACAAAATCACAAATTCTGAAACATCCAAGAAAAAATTCCATGTGCTGCTGTATTACGCTTATCAAACTTGGCCAAATATGATAAATCATAAGCCATGCATGAATGCATATTCATGCATGGCTTATGAAAAAATGTTATAAAAACATTTGTTGCCATGAGCAAAAAACTTAACAGTCGGAAAAGGAAATAGGATTTCAGAAAATAAATAACGTCAGCAATTATTTTCTAAATTCCACTGCATTTACTGGCACTGTTTTGCTGTAGTTACCATATGAGTTATAATGTGCAGAATAATGATTTTAGGAATAATTAATCCAACAAGAATCAGTGTAATACCACACTAATTCATGTGTAGCATAATATCATGCTATTATCACATATGGCATATCACAATTATAGCTTCGTATCATGCTATAATCTTACATTATGCCTAGTAGCCTTGTTGCCTTATTACCTAGTAATAGTAGTTACCATGTTTAATTAATTTGGCATACACTGTGTATGCTTGTCTTCATTTGTATGAGGACTGGATAGTCATTAAATTCTTGGCTGTGCAGCTCACTTTTAAATATATATTGCTATTTTATTTAAATTTCTAGTCTTGTAATATTTTTTATGTTATTCTTATATATTATATTTGTTTAGGTAATATTTGCAAGCCAGATGTGTATACTACAAATGCAACTGGTAAGATTTCTTTGAAATTATAATAATAATGAAGTTTTTGTATTTGAAAAACCAGTGATTTTAAGGGCAAAATGATTATATTTTGTGTGTATTTTTGCCTGTGATTCTATTAATGAGAACATTATTCTTTGTGAGTTAAAATCAATCAAATAAAAAAACGTTTTGTGATTCGTTGGTTTTATTTGTTTATGGCAAAGCATGCTATCTGCCAGTGGAGGAGATAGACTTTCTAAGCCTAGTATTTAACATTATACGTAAGAAAAATCACAAAAATCTCACGCAGCCAGCCCACTTATCAACCAAGCATAGAATGCACTAGGACTGAATTACAGTCTGTTAATTTAGAATTGGCCCTCAAGGTCATTTCTTCCTCCAAAACATGACTCATAATCATGGTAGCACCTGCTGCAGAAAAATAGGTTGAGACCTCTTGTCTTCTGAAATCATTTTATTTCACTCTGTGCGGCGATGATGGCACGTATTGATTGTAAATGAGAGAAGGATTGCTCTGACCTTGAAGTATCTGTTTTAAAAGTAACAGACTATACCAGTATTGTTTTTTTGGCCCAAATCATTTTTCTTTCCTAATAAAAAAATTAAGCATTAATATGATGTATTTAAAATCTTATGAGGATTCTGAACTGGCTTCATTAGTAGTTTTGGTTCTGGTGTATTTTGTTTAGTGATGCATATTTTATGTTAGAATTATTTCTGCATTTAATTGCATTTTGTAGCAGAAAACATTAGAAATATGTAATTGTAAATAACATTTTTATACATTAATTTTAAAAATAACTTCTAGTATTTATTGATATGTCATTTGTTTAAAATGCAGATTTTGTTGTATTGGTTTGAACTTTCTTTTTATACTGCTTTATATCAAATAATAACTGACTAATCGATCATTCTTTCCCTTGCTTTTATTTGTAAGTTTTACTTTTAATTTTTTCACACTTTGATTTAGTTATCACATTTCATGCATTTTACCTATCTTCTGGTAATCCTTTGTGCTTTCTGTTTATCCTTTTATTTTTTCCCCCTACGCTATAATAGCACTTACTAGCAATCTGGTAGTTTTATATCATTTCTGGTCAGTATTTTTGTTGAGCCCACTAGTGGCAGAACAGGTTGGCTACATGAGTGTTTCATTGTTTTAACACGAATATTAGTTATTTTTCCTTAGAATATCCTCCACAAGGATACTTCTTTTAAGCAGATAGCCCTCACTTGCTTTGCCATAATCAATTAACCAGTCAGCTGTAATTCTTATATTTATGCATGAGTCACAGTTAAACAGATGTTATTGAAAGCTTTCTATAAAAAGAATTATTGAATAAATGTTAACTAAATTTGATGCCTATGTAGTTTTTAGCAAAAAATATTTTTACATTTAGAATATTTTTCATTCATGAAGCAAGTGCAAACTATGCTACCCTTCCCTGAAATGCATAGTTTTCTTATAAAACTTCAGATTTGAATTTTCCTATTCTGATGGGTTCCGTCCCACTCTCACAGAAAACAAACAGCATAAAATTCTGCTTCTATAGTTAAATACAGCATTGCTATTCTTTTTTTTCTCTCTGTCAGTCAGTATAGGTGACAAAACTAATTTCAGCCATAGAAAGATGTCACAAAATATAATTAACTTTTTAAAGGTTTGGTGCTGAATCTACTTAAGTGTACATAGCTGACTGCTTCTGTCGGTGCTGTAGTGAATAATTGAGACTGTTATTTTATTAATCTTAAGAAAATTATTTTTCATTTTGAGAAAACATGAACTTAGTGAAATCGTGATGGATCTCAGACCTATGCACTTTGAAAACGGAGAAAGTTTAAATTGCACTGGTGAGGGCAACATGAGTGCACATTGAATATTGTGACTATTGGGCATAGGTTAAACAGCAGTGTACAGTGTTTGGTAAAAACTCTTTCATTTTGTAATGTGATTTCTCATAACTAAAGTTGATTTTTAGCACTTTCAGTAAGCAGTAAATACTTGCCTGATTATTATCTGAAATGATTATGGCTCTAGCAAACTGTGTAGGCACATCTTTACGTGAATCGCTCTGTGAATGTTCAGTACAGGTAGTCCACGACTTCCAATGAATGCCATTCGAGAGATCCCATCATAAGTTAATTCTGACGTAGTCAAGAACCTATTTTATTCTTGATATCTTTGATAATATTTTTATAAATTAGGTGTTTAAGACTGCATAAAGTCTATAAACAGTTTAATTTTCTACATACACTTATAAGCACTACACTACATATATATTTTATAAAATTAATGCATTTTCCCTCCTGTAAAGTAGTTGGTACAAACAAAAAATCAAAACCACAACAATGTTTTTAACCTTTTGCCGTAAGCCATTCTCACAGCAAAAACGCAAATTTTCTATTTTTAAATCTATTCCTTTCAGGGTGTTTGATATTTAGAATTGATCTTTTGCTTCTAAAAGTCAAATATAGATGGCAGCACCCTCATAATTAAAGCGTTGTGTTCTCATTTGCTTAAGATTGTTTTTAAAGCATCCAAATTATGGCATTCTAAAATAAAAATATTCTTTAATGTGAAAAATAATCCATCAAAATCTATTATTTAAATCCTAAATAATACAGTTATAGCTTTATTTCAAAGTAAAATTGGGGGAAAAGTTTAATTTTTGCTCTGGATTATAGCATTCTCACATCGCATGCCTTCACAGCTTGCATTTAATTTATGACAGTATGAAGAATTCTTGTACCAGCTTTAGGAACATTTTTCAGTTCAGCTGTCTAAAAGCTGGTAACATATTTGAATGGGTTGTTTATTGGAAACACATGCATTTAAGAGTTAAAGGGTCCTTGCCTAATTTTGTATCTGTATGTGAGAAAAGTTCTTCTTTTTTGTGTTGTGACAGGCAGTTTCATTTGAGCTCTCTGAAAGTTAATAATGTATTTGTATGGGATATTTATTACAAATACATGGACTAGCACTTTTACCTAATTTTGTATCTGTTTGTGGGAATAATTGTTTAGGACTTTTAAAGCAATTATATTCTGTAGATAAATTAAATATAGATAAATTTTTTGGGTTGAATTTGAAAATGCCATGCCAAAGACTTGAAATATCTGAGCCTTTGAACAGATTCCCTCAGATTCAAAAATCTATGACATCCAAGGGCGAAAATGATGAAAGGGGAAGTATTTCTTCTACTGATGAAGACTGCTTGGTTAATAATATATATTTTTTTAAATATTAAATACTTCTCTTGTCATATAGAATATATTTAGTAGAGCTTTCTTTTACAAGATTTGTACCCAATTTAGAAGAATCTATTATATCTATGAATCTATGAGGAAGGAGCAACAATTTTAAAGTCGTGATTAAGAAGTAAATTGCTCGGTATTTGACCATTTCTATTATTAATTCTTGAATTCCAGTTTAAGTTTTTAGCATTGAGATCGTCAGCTATTAATGTGGGGGGGGGCGGAAGTCCGCAGAGGTAAGATTGCTGAGATCATTAATATAAAGTAAATTTTGAGGAGGATTGTATACAGAAACAAAGAGATATGCTTCATTCAGGCTGCTATAGATAAGGACAGAGATCTTTTCGATGTTACAAGTGTCCGGAAGATCGAATTTGGAGAATTTAATATGGTTTTTAATAAGAATAGCTGTTCCGTCACCTCTATTGTGAATTCCGTTGTCTCTATGCATAAAAAGCTGAACGTCACAAAATCTGAAACAGATATAGCAGTTGCATACATAAAGATCTACTTGTAAAACCAGATATATTATTTAGATTCCACACTTCTGTATGTAAAACTCGAGTGGCATTTGTAAAATTTCAATCTATAACTGAAAGAAAGCTAAATTTGAGGCTTTTTTTTTTTTAATTAATACAATATAAGTACAGTAAAAGTCCAGAAATCTGCAAAGCTTGGGACCAGAGGTTGTGTGAATTTTGGGACAGAAAAGATAAATCATAATATTCAGATTAAAAGTGCAAAATAAAAAAGGTGTATTAGATACATTTAATTAAATTATTATATACATTATTGCAATAACTTATTTTATATGCGTTTAAATTATTATTACATATATAAATTGATTATATTATTCATTGTATTATATATACACCAGCATCGGTTTGCCGATTTCGCCTCATGCAGATTTCCGGTTTCAGATTCAGGTGTTAGAATCACTGTTGCTGTAAAATATCAACAGCTTTTCTTTATTTTTCCTGTTTATCATACACAATCGTATCGCAATTCCATACGATTCTGCTATAAAATGCACCTATCTCCATCTTTTGCACTTTTTGCATTACCGTCAATGCAACGTGTTTACGTTTTTTAACGTTGCAAGCAGTCAAATCATGAGTATGTTTCTTATCTGTAATTTTATTAAAAAGGGTTGAAATTTAAAATATTCTCAATTTATCCACAAAATATGCGGATAAAAAAAAGGCAGCACTAAATAATCTCATGATATAACTAAGCTTAGAAAATACAACGTGAATCGTGAACTTGAAAGAAGAGTTGAGTCTGCTTTCTTACCTCGATGCAGAGATTAGAGGAGAAAAAACTTTTATCATGATGTCAATAATTGGATATTTCTGTTATGACTCGTTATTATTCGGCAAGTATTTTTTCTTCGATATTTTGTACTCAATGTTGCAGTTTCCGGAACCCATAAACTGAATGTTTATATTTTGAGAGGCAACACAAATTTCAGGTCGGTGGATTTTCGGTATTTGACTGTATTTATTTCCTTTAAAAATTTCATATGCAAAATTAAGGTAATCAGCAGCTCCAGCTTTAACACAATTTTGAATACCCTCAAAAATTAAATGTATATACTCATAGAAATATCTGGCTATATATTTGGTTAAGATTTATTCAACAGTTCTATCTATGGAGTTCTTGAGCATCTGTTTTATTCTGACTAACTTGTTTAAAAAAAAAAAAAAAAAAAAAAAAAAAAAAAAAAAAAAAAACCGCAAAAAAAAAAAAAAAAAAAAAAAAAAAAAAAAAAAAAAAAAAAAAAAAAAAAAAAAAAACTTCAGTGGAAAACCTAAATTTTTTGCTCACAGAATATTTATGGCAAATGCTGAAATAACTACAGTAACTCGGAAATATATAATCACCATATGGTTCAATACACTTATGCCAACTAAGCATCATCATCTTCAGACATTCTTCCTCTAGAAGTATAGCTCCAGTTCTCATCTCCAGTGGTGATACACTGCAGAAGTGCATCATCTTTAGCATCATATTAATGGAAGCAGCTCTCAAAAGCATGAATGCATCTTTTCATTTCAGATGGTTAGCCCTTATATATTTTACTTGCACATACTTTACAGAACCTCAATTATCATGAATGATGTGATGGGCTAATCTAACTTTAACTAAGAGTGACCACCTTCTTGACTGTGAAATTCCAGATTTTCCATATCATTCTCCATGCAAGCAATATTGTCTTCTGTGAAAGATGGATAGGCTCCGCATAACAAAAACCACATTTCACTGATCTTGTTTGATGTTGCCATCCTCTGTCTTCCATGTTTGTATACAAGCTAACATCCATCTATTGGTAGCTCAAAGTTACCACTTCATATAACAGTAGGACAATATTAGTAGTGTATGTGATTTGAATGTAACTCTTTTACTCAACAGCTTAATAATTGCAAATAAAAAATACTTTTCAACTTGCTGACTTTCATATAAAGAACATACTAAGAGTTCTTTGTGTTGTTTTCATAGCAGTTTTGTTATTTATGTATATATATATATATGTATAATTTCTTATTCAGTTCTAGTAAGCAATTCTGAATCTGGGTCCTTTGACTTGGTCACATTTACATCAACAGAGCTGGCCTCTAATTCCTCCAGTATCTCTTTAGTAAAGACTGTAATCAAGTATTTGAATATTGAAAGTGTTGCTGCATTTTCAAGATGTAATGGATAAATTTGTTTGCAAATTCCTAGAGAATTTATATTTGAGAGAGATGTGTATTCTGTGATGGGAAGGATACAAAATATTCCTTAGTCTTTCTGTTGCTATGAAGCAGTATGTTTATAATTTATTTTGTTAAACTGTTTATAGGATTTACAAATGTTTAAATAATTTTTTAGATTGTGTTATTCGTTTGAAGAGATTTCAATGTGAATATTTTTATTATTTTTAAATATTTGCTTTTATTTCAAAATAACTTGGTTGTTACCAGTTTGCACATATATAAGAAACATACTGTTCAGTAGTAACTTGACATTCACGGCAGCTTAACATTTATTTTTGTTGTTTCACAAAATTTGTTCTGTAAGAATGAGTTATAAATAAAGTATTAATTATGAATTTGTTTAATATAAATGCATCATAATGTAGCTGCTTTATTAGTAGATCACACTAAAGTAACTCTAGAAAGATGTGTGAAAATTTAAAAATTTATCTCTACATATTTTAAATTTACATAACTGAATTTAATTATTGTACATTACTGGAACTCATACTTACACATGCAACATTCTATTCATTCAATTCTTATTTAGAAATATACTCGAAGTATGTTTGTAACAATACTGAAAACAAAATCAAGACATCAAAGAATATGCTTCCCATTAAAGTTGATTTTTTATTAATCTTCATTATAAGCCAGTAACATAACATGAGAGTTACATAATTTGGAAATACGTTAGTAATTCATTTAAATACATTTGTTCAAGAACAACTATTCAAAAATACTTATCTTCAGGTAACTATTACTTCAAGCATTAAAAAAGGGAGGAAGAGAGATGTTAAAGTTCAGTACAAATTCCAGTTTTTTAAATTTTACTTCTGATGCACTTACTCTAGCATACATTACCTCTTTGACCTTTTCATTCAAACGACCACAGCCGACCCAAACGGCCGAAATTCCGATGTCGTTTTCTTCCCTCCCCTAAGGTATGCAGTAGCAGGTGCATTTTCCCCAAAGGCACTGTATCAGTTTATTGCAGACAGCTTGTCCTAAAAGGATTTATTTGTTAGAAGTAGAAGGGATGTCATTTGAAATCTTCACTCTTCTTGATGTGTTGATGAATGTGGAAGGGAGGAAATTGTTTTTGACTCTCGAAAACCATTTTGGGCAGTTTGGTATTTTAACATACAGGTTAGTGAAGGCTTTGATTTTCAGAGTTAATTCACAAATTCTGTAGGGTGTATTATGCTCCCTGCAGAACTATTGGATTGTTGCAAACTTAACATGAAGTTTCATCACTTGATAGATCTTGCCATCTAGAGTCGCATAGGTTTCAGCAGCTGAGAGATCGAATATGCCTCTATAACATAGTCAGACATTTTGTGCAGTCAAGATTTCAAAAGAGGACATATCGCTTAGCAAGAGGGATGAGCATCTCAAAAAGAATCTAGCTTTTAGTTGATGACAGCAATGATGGCATGTAAAAATAACAAACAGGTTACACACAACTTGAACAGATCATAGGTACACACGATTTTTTTTTTTATCTAATAATGGACCAAAGACAGCTCAATTTCTTTTACTAACAACCATATGTGGTACCTTCATTATAGACTGAAGATATCATATATGGCTGAATCGCATCAAAATACTTAGAGATGGAAATTTAGCATATGGTGCCCGTTATATATATATCCTGCCACTCACAGCCAGCCATCATTGCCTTTGTTGTTTGCAGCAGGAATAAGAAACCTGAATTGGAACTGTATCTTATTTAGCAAGCAATCCAAATTCTCTCTGGGAGCCAACAATCATGTTCAAGAATCTAAGCCTTGTAGCAAGTGCTTTTGCTATAGAGTGACACACAGCTCAAGTGCTGGTGCTAATCTGAAAAGCTGTCAGATACAACTGATAACCTCTAGCAATGATGCAAAGAATAGCAACACTTAAGTAATTTAGGCAAAATGTCCTGAAGCAGTCTGCTGCTTCTCCCAGCACAGCTTACAATACACACTTTCCTCAGAGTGGTGCTTTCTCTCCCATAACAAAGTTTTCTAGGTTGAGTTTCCTAACCTGCTTGTCACCGGATTTAGCACCAATCAAGCATTTATGGAACTAGCTATGAAGTCAGCTTCAGCAGCATGTGCAGGATCTAGATGCATAGTTGCACATTTATAGAGAAATATGCATGGATTATCATATGGAAGTTATATGCCTGCATAAACCACATCTCATATATAAGCTAGAAAGGCCCTACAGCCATCTTTGAATTGCAGTTTCTCCAAAAAATAATCTTTCACTCTAATATTGCATTTATTTACATATATCAACGTTTCATTCGATTTTAACAAGTTCATGGTGCGCCCTCCCCCATTATATATCTGAGGAAAACAACAATATTTCTATAGATTTGATCAAGTTAAATGCATATAAGGATATAAAAATCTTCGCAAATACGAAAGAAAACATGACATTCAGTCACATAACTACTTATTCATTTAGTCATTGTATGCAATTATTAAAATAATTTTTTTAAATATTAATAAACTGCTGTGATTTCACAAGAAACTGAAAAGTTACTCTGCAAAGAAAATCTGCATAATGAAAAAAGATGATACTGAAAAGAAGGAGCTGAAATTTCTTAGAAATCATTGAGTATTTCAAAACAAATATTAGATAAAGAAGAAAAAAAAATATGCCTCTAATGATATTTAAAATTTCTATATTCTTACTATTCTGTACAATAGTTTTTTAAAGATGAAAGAAAAGCAAAAACTATTTTGGAGTATAAACAGAATTATTTATAAAAGTAGAATTCTATGAAGAATTTATTTTATATAAATCTTTATTAAAACTGTTAAAAAATTTAAAATTTTCCATAAAAATATAATAGATATTATATATGTACAAAGTAACACCCAAAATAACTACCTCTAGTTCAGCAAAAATAGTAAATGCTTGAATCTCAAGAATATTATTGAACTACCAATAAAATGCAACTACTATACGTAGCCATTTGTGAAGTATGCGTCAGATTGTGGTTTGTGAAAATTAAGTGATTATTTATAGAATAATTATGAAAATCAGAAATGGGATATGATCTTAAGTTACTAGACAATGGTGCTTTTGTAAGTTCCTGTCTACAGGACAAAATATCACTTTTCTTTTTAAATGAAAATGAGTGACACGCACATGGCACAATTTCCTGAAGTCCATAAGTAATATCATGCTGTTCGTTGTTTCCAGAAAGATGTGTAGAAGTAATTGTGTCTGAATGTAATTTTTTCTCAAACTGAGCATCATCAAAGAGATGTTGGGATGGAATATGGAGAGATCTGAAGGATATGGCAATTTGTGACTGCAACTCACTCACTTTGTAGTCTGCAGATAAGTCTTTGACAGACTTAGTTAATCTATGCATGGTCATTCCTGATCCATATAATGCTAATGCAGTTGTAATATATCCAACAGTCCATAAAACTGTTGCCTAAAAAGAAAAAAAAATTATAAATGATCAATTCCTTTTACCTATATAATTTATATTAATTTTGAGATACTGGTAAAGTACACCTTAAATCCAAATATTCTTTATTTTTCATGCAGAGAATACCTGAATAAAACAAGTTGACGGAAAACATACTTTACAGTAATATGCATAGTACTGAATTATACTACTGCTCAATAAACAGTAGTTCTGGATATTATGTAGGTGCAGCCGAAAATCATATTAAAAGAACATGGTTCTTCAATAACATGCTTAGAAATGAAAGAACGATTCTTAAGACCAAGAATCTTGCACACAGTAAGCTTTTGAAATAATGTGTCGCATCAGCACACACTGACAGACTGGGGAAGGATGAACCATCATCCTGAGCTATATTCTGAAAGGTGTAATGATCTACCTTTTCTGTTGCTTGGGTTCTTTCAAAAATGACTTTGTAAAATATCTGGTTGTAACGAAAATTTTCGGCAAAAAAACACCCTTAATAAAGTTACAAAAAAACATAAAAGCAGTACTTTTAGTGTGCCAACCAAATCTATGATTTTCTGCCAATGTTTTGGCAGTATTTCAAAGCCATTGGCCCAGAAACTTGGTGGTGGCAAGTCCAGAAACAGATCAACCTCATTTTGGATGTCTTGTGCAGAATGGAAGAATGTCAGAAGTCCAAAATAGCGACGTATGGTTAAGCATGGCGAAAGATCCGATTCGAGTCTGTACAGAGTCCAGCCGCCGAATGCAGACATGCGTGATCTTGTATTATCTTGATGGAACATTACCTTTTTGGGCCAAAACTCAGTTCGACGTTTTTTCTAGATAGCAGCATCACCACGGACTAGCATCTCACTGTACACCTTACTGTCCAGGGTTTTGCCTTCTTCCAGATACTCTTTGTGGATACCATACAAACCAGATACAAAGTATGATCTTTTTTGGTAGTCAAATTGCACTCTGCAAGGCTCCCGATGGGCTCGCCACACGTATATTAACCCCCTTTCCAGCCTGTGTTGTTGAAGTAAATCCACTTTTTATCTCAAGTGATGATCCGGCCCAGAATTTTTGTCCTTGCATTGGTATTCAAACAGATTAGTGCAGGCCTGAACACGTTTGTCCTTATCTGCTTGAGTCAGCTCACGTGCCATTGAACTTGTACATCAAGTTTATGCAATGCATAGCACAACTAATGGACATGGTATTAATGTCTTAACTCCTTAGCAAGCTCTTGAGTGGTTGCATACTGATCTTCTTCCATAAGTTCTCACAGGCGGGCCTCATCAACATCAGTAGGCCGGCCAGAGCACTGTGCTTCTTGAATGACATACTCTGTTTTTGAAAGTACCAATCCTTCACAGTGTCATATGATACAACATTAGTACCTAAAGCTATACACATGATTTGGTGATATTCTGTAGCTGACTTTTTGCAGCAGAACTGAAAGTAAGTGATTGTTTTAATCTGGTAGTCTGATAGTTCTATTCCAGATACCTTGTACTTAAAATTTCACAACATAGTGTTCTAAAGCAAGTCTCTTCCTTTCAAATGCCAAAAATCGTTTAACAAAATATGATAAAACACGCCAACATGAAACTGTGTGCCGATATTTGCAGTGGCAGGAAACTTTTTTTAAAACCTGATATATTCTACACTCACGTTTGTGAAAATTGCAACACCATGAAGGACTTACGCGAGTGAGCTGAAATTTTCAGGAAATGCAAAGTAGCGCATGATATGCAAATGATTAGAATTGCAAATCCGTAGCGCATGCGTATGCTGAGCAGCGCCCTCTGAACGGCTGATGGATCCGAATAAATAGACGGCTGTAGCGAGGCGTGTATGGTTATCGGTGGTTATCTGCTAGTGGTAAACGTTAACTCAATCTGTACTTATGCCTCGTCGACGAAAGAGAGCGAGATTTGAACAACTTACAGAGTTTTGAACGAGGGAGAATCATCGGCCTTCGTGAAGCTGGATTGTCGTATCGTGCAGTAGCCTCTCGTGTGCAGCGTAACAGCAGCACAGTGGATGCGCGTTTGGAAGCAGTGGGGACGGACGAGTGTCGGACAACTCGGAAATCCGGGAGTGGACCCCGAAATGTGACGTCAGCTCGCGATGATAGACACCTGGTCCGCATGGCGCGGACGGACCGTACAGCTTCCCTCTAGACAATTGGCAGCACTGTGGTCAATAGCTACAGGTGTTTCATTGTGTGCTTCATCAATTCGTAGACGTCTGCTGCAGTGTGGACTGCGCGCACGGACTCCTTTATACAGGATCCCCCTAACGCACGACCATCGCCGCCTGCGGCTACAATGGGCCAATCAGCATAGAGACTGGCGTGCTGATTGGCAGCATCTCTCGTGTTTTCTGACGAATCCCGCTTTAATTTGTGGTACCATGATGGCCGCATTCGTGTCAGACGCTATGCCGGTGAACGCCACCTTCTGGAGTGCATTATCGAACGCCACAGTGGACGAACACCCGGAGTTATGGTCTGGGGCGCCATAGCATATCATAGACGATCTCAATTGCTACGAATTGTGGGCAATCTGAACAGCAACCGGTATATCCCTGAAGTTCTACAGCCCGAAGCTGTTCCCTTCCTTCAAAGCTTGCCAGGCGCTGTATTTCAACAGGACAATGCCCGCCCTCATACTGCTCGGATTGTTAATTCCTTCTTTGCAGCGCAGCAGGTACAGCTTCTTCCTTGGCCTGCGTGTTCCCCGGATATGTCGCCAATTGAACATGTGTGGGATGTCATTGGTCGGCGTCTTGCTCGTGATCCTCGTCCTGTTGCGTCTGCAGACGAACTTTGGGTACGCGTACAAACGATATGGAATGCTCTTCCTCAGTCAGACATTCAAACTTTGACTCCATGCCACGTCGTGTAGCAGCACTTATTGCGGCGCGTGGTGGCCACACAAAATACTGATTCTGATCTCTTGTTCTTGTTTGTTTGCTTTGAACATTTAATCATTTATTTGTACCACTACCACTCAACTGTGTATTAAATTGCATTCAATTATGACGATTCCTTCTTGGTGTTGCAATTTTCACAAACGTGAGTGTATATCACTCATAAGTATTTGACCTTTTTTCTTATAATGATAAATGTATTTTCCACAACTGTCTGGTCATCTCTTAACCACAATTAATGCCTCTGAAATAAGCAATCAGGAGCTAACTCACACAACACATAACTTTAAGATCATATCCATATATTAAAAATTTAATACACAACTATCGTATTTTTTTTTAAATACAAGCAAAATACGGTACTGTTCTGTTATCCAGACCAGACTCAGAAATGTATATATGTAAGCAAGTATATATTCATGTATATAACCGTGTGTGTATATATATACACACATGCATACATGAGCCCTTACATTTAAAAATACCTGCATATATACATGCAGACATAAGCATGTACATTTATAAATACATGAATATGCACGTACATTTCTGAATATGGTCCTGATACCAGAACAGTACCAAAATAATGGCTCCATCAAAAAGAAAAAAAAAAAAAAAAAGGTAGAAAGAAAGTAACAAGTGATAAATAATTTTAACACTCTTAAACAAAAGTAAATAAATATTCTACTTAAAATCACCTTGACAATAAGTTTTTCTCTAAAACAAATCCTTATTTTCCTACTGCTCCTGTTTTCTCTGCATGTCTAGCTAGATTAGTCAGGTAACAGTATCAATTAACAAAAAGTACTAGAACTGAAATTTTGGATACATTAATATATTAATTATTAATTTTGTGTATTTGTTAGCCTCTTTTTTCTTTATTTTCCTTTTTTATACTCGAAAAACCTTTAAAAGTGCTTTTCTTAAGAACCTGTTTCATCATTGTATACAACTTTGTGCATTGTGCAGAATTAAACGGAAAAAAAAAAAGACTTTAGCAGTGGACATCTGACATACTGCAGGCAAATAAATTACACTCATGTATTACACTCAAATTCAAAATTAATTTAAAAAGGCAGCAGAATATGCACACAAATGTAGACATTTATCTGAAACGAAAAATTTGGTGAAATTCACCACTAGAACATGGTAAATTACATCAGTAAACTAAAAATGCTTTTCAGTCAAAAAGTGTTATAAATACATTCACCTTGTTAAAACGTTGGCTAGATTTGACTTTAAGGTACCCCTTGTATTATTGCAAAGTTGTTTCATTTATCATCAAGTTGCTGTTTCATTTATCACCAAGTTGTTGCATTATTTATGGTAACCTGAGTAGTTGAATGTTATGGAAACCCTGTTATGGTGTAATCGTTTGCATTATTCTGGGAAATTTTGAATCATGGAATGTTTTGCGAAGGCTTTTGTGATACATGTTGCTTAGGAAGCACATTACTTGTTTCATTGTTTAGATGGTACAATGGCTGAATGTAATAGGAATAATTTGAAATTTCTGTACGATTTGGAACGAAAGGGAAAAGTGCATTAATCGAGTGAATTAATTGTGTAAATCAAGGTTTACTTAATAGCCATAGTCCGAAACTACATAGTATATTTTTTACTCTTATTTTTATGAATTTCTGTGGCGACGCCGATATACGGATTGTAGTTCAGATAATTTTAGGAAGTTTTTGGATGCTGTTAAGGAATTTCGTGTGCCACAAACTGAAGACGAACAAATTTCTAAATAAGGTAAGGGGAGTTTTGCTTTGTGTAGTGCTAAAATACATAACAGGATTTTCCTTTTTTTGTGTTGTTTTATTGTTTAGTTTAAAATGTAGTTTATTGAGATTATGTATTTTTTGTTTGCCTCTACTGTAGAATTGGGTGCTCCTTTGATTTTTTAAGTGAAAATAGATCAATGTGTACATAGACAAACTCAAGGGAGTGCATAAAGCATAGTTTGGGCAATTCATGGAATTTTTTTTTTTTTAAGTGAAAATAGGTCGATGTGTACATGGATAAAGTCAACGGAGTGTGTAATGCCATTTTTGTGCAATTTGGGGATTTTTTTTAAAGTGAAAATAGGTCGATGTGTACATGGATACCGAGTTTGTGCAATGCTTTGACTTGTTATTTTGGCCTCGCCGCTACGCAGGCCAAAATAACAAGTCAAAGCATTGCACAAACTCGGTATTCATGTACCGCCAAGTTTCGCCAAGAGATACCCTAAAATATACTTTTACCAAAAAGTTTACACATACATAAAAGAAAAAAAATGCTGACAAATTTAACTAAAATGGTTAAATTTCTAGAACCACAATTCCGTTCGTATACAAATAAAAATAAGGTATTTGCGCATTGTAGGAATTTTACCACATATAGCAAATACTTTAAAACATGAATTTTAATTTTAGTCCTAGTACACATGCTAAAATCAAAAGTTAAAATTACAAAAACTGTTCACTTTTATAAAATTATTATGAAACCTCTCATAGCCAATGGCCTCTTCCTAAGAAGATCACATCTGGAAGTGACCAGTCTACTTAAGAACATAATAAAATGTTCATGCTCAATATAAACTAACAGTATGTACTCTAAGGAAATCCTCTGCACAGAATAAAATCATCAGAAGCAGAAGCATTTAGAGGGTTGCACTGCATATTTATTGAAATGCCAATATTTATAATGTTAAAAATGTAGCTACAAACTTTATTTTCTTGTATCTTTATAATGAGTAATAGATGGCAAAGATTAAGTTTGCCAACGTAAGGTAGAGAACTTTTTTAAAACAGCTCCAGGACTGCAGGTAGGAATATTCTATAAATACAAAGTTTAACCCCATGTGGCCTATGAGCAGCAAAATATTGATTTATTAAAATGGTCAACATACTTTCAGAAATTAGATTTGCCCTCATTTGAAAAATTCATGGAGATAATAATTAGTAGTGCCATGGTTTGGTTTATTATATTACGGCAAAGCACTCAAGGGCTATCTGCCTTAAGGGAGGGATGCCTTCGTGGAGGACTTTTTAAGATACTGGCTCGTATACACGTTACACATGGGGAAAACCACGAAAACACCCATGCAGCCAGCCCGTTCGCAGGATTCGAACCTCGGACCGAACTACCAGTGTTCAGCGACGTTACCGCTCGGCCGCTGGTAGGCAGTAGTGCCATGGATTTAGCATAAACACTGCTAATTACACAGTTCATAATATCACTTTATCTGATTAAAAATTGATAATTTCCAAAACAAGCAACTTTTTGTAATTTCTACCTAAATGTCATCAAAATTACTAAATATTAGGCAGTACAGTGACCTAAGTTAGCAAATTCAATGTCAAACATCTCCACAAATACTGCACATTAAGATTTAGAACCTATATTATGTATTCAATTTATTGAAGCATAATGAACATTTTAGTAATTGCACATTCTGATCCCTGGGGACTATGAAAAAATTTAAAATTTTGTTTTCAAAAGGATGTCTCCTTCCTGTCATAAAGGTGCCACATACTAGTCACTGTTCTACAAGTTACAAACCTCCAAAAAAGTGCCCTCTGCATGAAGGTAATGAACTTCAAATGGGTACAGGCTCATTTATGCCAAGGATCAATTATGTAAGTAGGATTTTCATTTCCTTTTATAAATCAGAATAGAAAACCTAAAAACCTTACTTTCACAGTGCTGTCCTAAAAAGATCATAAATGTGCAGCCGACCACCCTTGTAAAAGTTTTTGCCTCTGCCTGAATAAAACCAACTTACACAAAGGTGCCAACAACTTTATTAAAGGAAATCATTGTGAAGTAGTCTCCACTTAAAGCCCTCCCCCTTCTTGTCCACAAAGAACTCATGCATGTTAGAATAAGTCTTAATGCAAAGACAATTCAATACAGCTTCTCATTTAAAAAGTACTGAAATTTTCTATTTGCACAATAAGGGAAAAAATTAAGGAGAGAAAGTTCAAAACAGCTTACTGTTTAATAACAGCAGAAAATTTTCAAAATTTGGAAAAAATTGTAAGTAAAATAAAGGGGTATTTATCCCTTCAGCTGATAAAGTAGGCTACCATGCAAATTCAACCCACTTCGTTTCTTGTGTTTCGTAAAAAGGCTTTAGTTGATTTCAACTATTTTGTTAGGTCCCCCAGTTTTACTGGAAGTCCTGTTTAGAATGTTATTTGAGTACAAACTTCCCATAATCTCTCACTGGTCCCCCCCCAGCTATATAGTGTCCATTAATATATTTTTTATGGTAGGGTTTCATACCTTTAAAAATAATCAACTGCTTGCTGTTCTGCAGAAATAAAATCCCAAATTTTAATAATTTTTTTCTTAAATGCAAGGAAAAATACATTAGAAGTTAATTTATATCCTTGTTCATCAAAAATAAACGTGGCTTATCGAGAATCAGTCAAGTTATATTGAATGAAAGCGCAAATGTGTTATGTCACAATTACTCATAATTGGTACTAAACTGTACTGCTGGTGACAGTTTCAAATTTGACAAGATAGTAAGTATCAATAAAGCGATGTACATATAACCAGTATAAAATGAAGGGGAAATATACAAAAAATATCACTACAATGGACTGACCGCATGTGGGAAAAGAGATGCATCTTAAAATTCAGGTGCTACTGAATAAAAAATAATAACCCCTAACCACCTGTTAAACTTTGTGTAAGGAAAGAATTAGAAAATGAGAAAATTATGCATAAATATCTCTAAGAGACTAAAAACCTTTATGAAATTTTTTTCATCTGAAATGTTCTCCTTTCTCATTACAATGTATCACCTATTATAATAACAAGAACGCATAATCCCATCACAGATATTACCATAAACTACAGGAACAAGGAAAATCTAACCTCACAATATAGATTTGGAGATTCTGGTATTATGCCTGCCCAAAATGGTTAAATGGCACACATTTAATTTTCCATATTAACAACAGATTTAGTATTAGATTGTAATTCTTTAATTGTCTTTATTCATTTGAATTTTCAGCAAAACATAGCTATTTGATAAAATTACCAAGTCAAAATATACATAACTCAAATATAATCAGAGTTACGAAAATATTCCACTAGCTATGTTTTTTCCCATATTACAATGATTTTAAATACAGATTTAATAACATAGATGCAAAAATAATGTTCCAAAACTTTCAGTTAATAATTTAGGAGTACAAACATTCCATAATACATAAATTTATTTCATCTCGCATTTTATAAAATTAGTCATTACAATGTTAAGTGCACCTAATTTATTTTTAATATAATTGTATTATACTTCCAATATGATAAACTGGGCATTTCCAGTAGGTTTTCGAGCTGCAAATTGGCACCATTTCAAAAGAACTTTAAATCAACTTCCATGATTCACTTTAAACACATGAACTGAGTTACTTAATTATTTATATCATTCTGATATAAAATATATTAATATTATAAATTTTATACTCTTTGGCTTATTTCATACTGTACTTTTCTTACATTTTATACTAAGAAAATCCTGAGTAGGGAAAGAAAGCTTTATCAAAGTACTTTAAAATACAGAAATAAAATTAAATAATATACATACTACCACATGGATATGCCTAATAATAAATCTAATATTGATATAAAACAAAATTAAATGCAAATATTTACTGTTTAAACACTGGTTGAATCTTTATTTAAACTTCTACAAATGTCAACGGTAAAGAAAATTCAGATCAAATAGAATTTAATGAGAAAAATTATGCTGAAAATCACTAAGGGTAGAGGAATAAAACTGGCAAAATTTAAGTTTCATTAATTCAATAGATTCCATTTATTGCTGACAAATACTCTCCTCAGTAAAGGCTAAAATTAAAAACCATGAAGTGTGGTGACGAAAAATCGGGAGTTTTCCATTAAAATCAGGACATCTGGCAGCTACATTATACGTTTAAAATAATTTCAAAAGATAGAAATAAATAAAAAAAGAACTTTTATAAAATCAATTCAACACCAAGAAAAGTAACATACCTTGGCAATCTGTCTAACACAAGATGTCCAAAAATTTTGAAATGCAGGATCTTGTATCAGAACACAAATATCAGTATATGATAACCAATCCCGCAAAGATGACTGTCTAACAGCTACACTACAATGAAAATATTTCACATTAGAGGATGAACACATGGACATATCAAAAAAAAAAAAAAAAACCCTCTGACAAGAAAGATGTCAATCTATAAATTCATATATAAAATATGTAAAAAAAAGTATTTTCTTATTATATACCATAATTTTAAATCAAACATTTAGTGTTCTTAATCATGTTCTGGTGCAAATGTATACTAATAACTAAATAATCAATAGTAACTTTAAATCAGGGTTTCTTAAACTTGTTGGTGTGGGAATCCTTTAATATTTACAAAAATTTTGTGGGACCCCATAAGCTTAACTGTATTACAGTTTAGAATATTAATAGTTTCTCAAGGTCTTGCCTGCCAAGCTTTTACTACAGCCCACATATTATGCCTATTTTAATTAACTGATTTTTATCATTTAGCTGTTGGAATTCACCTTTTGTTCACATACTTGAATATGTCAAAAAACACTCGGTCGGATGTATCTAAACTTCCAGAAAACAAGGTAATAAAAGAATGAGATTTTGAAATATCTTGCCACACAAGTCATTACAGATATAATGCAAGATATTTGCCAAGACAACTGAAATTAAATATTATTGAATGTTAAATGTTAATGTAATCCAACACAACACACAAAAAAGTACATCTTTTTTTTTTTTACCTTGAAGAATATCAAGTCAAAATCCAGGAAACGGTTAACTGGTGCATATTTTCAAGCATTCTCAAGAAAAATCAAAAACACAGAGTTCAAATAACAGAAATTTTGAATAACATCTGCATAAGGTTAACATTTATATTTCTGACACTTAATGTCAAAAATCAGTTATAAGAAATTCAAGGCATTCAATGGCAAAACTTGCAATTTTATGGCCTTTCATCAATTTTAAATTGGAAATTATAGGGTCCTTAAAAAATCATAGGGTATGTAAAAAAAAAAACATGCAGGAATTTTCTATATTTAGCAATAGGTTATTATAAGACAAATATATTTCTCATAGAGAAAAATCTAATGTACAAAAATAAAAAATTCTTACAGTAGAAAGAAGTAAATTTAAAAAAGTTTGGTACATTCAAGTAAGAACTAAGGTTTCAGATTCTCTCACTTTTAAAAAGAAGTAAAAATCACACATGTATTATTAAATTGCAGTATATAAAGCAAAAGCTACATAGTACTTTGATTTGTATAGTTCTGAAGCTTTATGATATCGATATAATTATTAAAATAAAAAAGGAAATTCAAAATAGCACTCATGATGGCAAATTTAACTTGTGAAATTCTCTACTTGTTGAAAACAAAAATTTCTTAAATTTCCATAAAACAAGAAGAGACTTATAAAAGATTTTATTTTAGATTATATTACTGTGCAACCTTTTAATAAAAGAAATCCTCCATCAGTCTTTTCACAGACTTGCATAATATTACACTGATTTTAGAAGGGATTAATCAGCCAAACTAACAATGATATAAAAGATTACTTACATATGAAGGAATATTTATAAATATGTATTTTCAAATCGATGAAGGCATAAAATAAAAGCTTTCAAGACTTACACTTTTTCAATGCTGCATAAGTAGAAGAAATATTCCGAATAATCCACAAACACTTTCCAGTCCTTTAAAAAAAATTAGAAATCACTTTGTGCGAGTGCACACACACCATAAATTATACATTAACTGAACATGAAAAAGTAGAAATAATTATGCCTAACATTTTCAGAAAGGGCTAATTCTAAATCTAATAAAAAAGAATTAGTGCTTTCATAAAATAAGCTTTTTTTAAAACTCATAAAATAAAAGGATAAAATAATTTATCATATAATTTACATACAAAAAACAAGAGATGAAATAATTCAGCACTTTCTGATTTTACATTTATATCTGATCCAGTGTATTTGTATCAGATGCATAAAATTTTACCAGAACAAAAACCTAAATGCATGTAATATTAAACTTCATAACTTCAAAGCACATAAAAAGGAATGCACACAGTACAAATAAGTATTTCTTCCTTTAGATCAGCAAATGTTACACTATTATTCAAAACACAATTAATACATCTACTTACGATTGCTGACAAAAATTCATATTCCAGTTCATTTAAGTCTTTAATATCAAAATTAAGAGCTTCAGCCCACATTTGATTTGTCACAATATCCTCATCATTTTCAAAAAGAAATTTGGAAGCAACCAGCTATGAAAAAAATTCCAATGTTATTTTTCTCAAGTAAAAAATATACAGATATATCAAACAAAAAAATTTTTTAGGTCAGATAATCCTTACCATTGTAACGACAAAAAGACCTGAAGGTGATACTGTTTCTAAATATTCACTATTATTTCTCTGCAGTCTATCTAAGTATATCAATGCTAAAATCATGGCACAGGGAGAAATATGGGCAGCCCTATAAAAACAATTCAAAATTTCATGAGACAGAAATATTATACGGAAGCATAAGATATTGCAGTACTTGTTTACTATGCCATCGACCATGAAAAATGGCTACAATCAAACCATGAAAGTTGGCTGAGATCCCATCAAAGTTGCACTAATTGATTCGAAAGGAAGTGATGCCTCTTTAATTAACAATCAGTATTCGAACCACTTTATTGTTGTAATTCATAAAAAGGCTTTCATTGATTTCTAATATTATGTTAGGCACTGAGATTTTACAAAATCTCTGTTTAGAACGGTATAAGTGCATACTTCTTATAGATAATTGTTACAATCCTTTATTGCTTTGTCGGCCACATTAATTTCACCATATTGTATCCATTAATACACATATTTTTTATGGTAGAATCCACACTTTTAAAAATAATGCACTGCTTAATGTTCTATAGAAAGCAGATTCCAAGTTTTAATAATATTTTTAATGCAAGGAAAAGAACAGCAGTAATAACAAATTTATGTCTTTGTTCATAAAAACAAAATACAGCTTATCAAAATTCAATCAGTTTCACCAAACAAAAGTGCAGACATTACAAGTGTGTTGTTACATGATGCATATCCATAACTGGTGCTAAATCACACGGCTTGACAACAGTTCGACAGCTGACAGGATAATATATACATAAGTACTGATATTGCATTTAACCGAACTATAAATTTAAAATCTGGCAATTTAGATTTTCAAAGGACGTACTTATTTAGCTAGTCAAACAAATGTTTATTGCATTTCCCACCAGAGTATAAGACACTTTTTCTTTAAAAATATCATGTCTAAAATCTGGGTGTGTCTTATACAATGGTAAAGCCATTGTATAAGACATATCCAGTGGCAATGGAAATGTTATTAGTGACATTTCAGTGAATAACAAGGGTGAAAGACTGTTGACAATGCATACATTGCATGCACATTAACCCTCAGAATGCTGAGGCCTTTACTCCCGATTCTTTAAAAAACTGAAACACGAAATTCCATTTGAGATTCATATAAATTCCCCCCCCCATTCATTAACACATTAAGGAGGTGAAGATTTCAATATTGTTTCCAAGTCATAATAAAGGAGCTTCCCCCCCCCCTCAATGCATACTAAGTCAACTTTAACGTAAAGCTAAGGAACCACAAAAAGAATCCTTTTAGGACAAGACTGTCCACAATAAAGATGAGCTGATAGACTGCATTTGAGAAAACTTCACTTTAGGCTATTGCATACTCTTCAGCTAAGATGAACATGTCTTAGGTCTTTAAAGTTTTTCTCTATAATCTTTGCATTTATGTCTACAGTTTTGTTTTTCCAATGAATTAACATTAGAATAAGATTCACCTTGATAATTATTTTGGAAGCATACTTTCAAATTCTAAATATGGTCATTCTGTTGCACTTACATTGGATACTTAAGTATAAATCCAACCACCTTACTAGAAGTCGCCAAATTTTCAGAATGCGCCGAACTCTGGCAACCATGCTCATAATAATTCTTCAGTTCTTCAGTCATGCAATGTACACATTTTTTAATTTTTCTTTTAAATTCCAAAGATTTTTATAAAAAATTTTGATATTTTTCTCCCAAGTTTTAAAATACGAGCTTGTGGAATTTACCATTAATGGTACAAACTAAAGTAAAATTTCTGCAAAATTACAGAAGCTTTCTGAAAATTTTCTAAATGAAACAAAAAAAAAAATTTATTTTCTTGATAGCCGATGCTACCGAGGCTTGCACAAAGCTGAGTCTCTGCAATTCAATGTTTTTTTAAACAAAAGCAGATCAATGTGTACTTTGGGAGGAAAAACAGTACAAAAGAATTTCAGAATGATTTGAAAAAGAATGCAACTGTTTTATTTTTTTTAATGTATCATATAATCCTTATTCAATAAATCAAATTTATATTTGAAAATTTTAAAGTATGTTTTCTTTTCATATGCTGGCAATGTTAAATGACTTGCCATAAACATCGGCAGTTTGGGAATCTTTCTAAGACTCAAAAACCACCAACTTACATCCAATAAGTAACTTTTACTTTTCATCTGTAAAAAATCACCAAATTGCACCAAGGTGGTTGTATTAAGTACTTTAGATTGTTTTGCAGCTAAAATAATTGCATCTTTCTGCAACTTTTCATTTTTCTTTTGATGCATCAAGTACAAGACGACAATCACAACTTGATCTTTCTTTTAATCTTAATTTTACAATGGGTTGGTTTTCAACTGAAATAAAACAACTGATGTCAATAAGCAGATGAACTTGGAATTAAAGTTATAATTCGTAATAATTAGGTTAACCTAAAAATTGAAAGATGTGCCAAAACAAATGCCAGATGTCATGAAACACTGATTCTGATTGAAGGCTTCATAATTTTATGCTACAACACAACTTAGTTGCATTCGCCAATAATTCCCGCTTAAAATTCACTTGCTACTATTATTAAGGGACAGAGGTAAGTAATATATATCAAATGAAAGAAAAATTTCATGACCAGATAAAAGCAGTCACGCCACTCAGAAGGTTAAGCACTGCTATACAATGCAGAAGGCAGAGATCAATTAAACACTGGACTTCACAACTTGAAATCAACTGGCTACCAATACACAAAGCAAAATGGCCGGTACTTCTTTGTTATAGTGGCCCTCAACCGTATTTGGTGATTTTAGATTTGCCCAAGATCTCGGTTATAATTCTGTCAAAATTGTGAAGCTCAAATGTAAAAATAAACAACACAATATAAAATAACAACAATAATACTCATAAGTGATTTCCTAAAAAAATTTTTGAGAAACCTTATCCTTAGTATTATTACTTTATCACATGCAATTGTTCCAGTCAACTGCAGCACTTTCACACATATTTTGGAAGTGTTGAACCAATATCCAACCTGGAGAGCATTCTTCTTTTCTGCAATTTTTAACACCACACCTCCAAATGGTTTTGTTGTCAAAGTAAACTTTCAGGTTGTGGCCATTTTTGCATACTTGTTTCTCGGATAAAAGACCTCTTTCTTGAAAAAATATACGACATCCACCTTATTACTTGGTAAATTAAATATTGTTAGCGCTATATTCACAAAAAAAGAGCAATAAATATATTTTTAAATAAACAAACGTAAATCCAAATACCAATACTATAAGAAAATGCAGCACAGTGCTAATATACGATTATGTGGCAAGGTATAAGAACAAGCAGCAGGTGCTAATATACGATCACATGGGTAAGGTATAAGAACACGCAGCCAGATTTTGGCACAATATCTCAATTGATTGGCGATTAAATCTAGGAGGCTGTTATAACAAAGATGTACCGAAGAGCCTTACAAAGCATAATTATCCACATCTGTCTTTATTTAATGTTTCAATAAAAAATTCATTTATTGGAAATGAGATGGAAGTTGACATCCTATTTTAATAACGTGATTATAGACAAGTAAAGATAATCAACATAGTCTAGCAGCTATATCAAATAACTATAAGATTCTCTGCACAATTCTTCCAGCCAGTTCTTAAAATAGAAGAAGACTTGATATTACTGCTAAATTCTCTTACCTTAAAGTAAAATAAAACTATCCATAACTCCTTTTACAGGCTAATGTAATTTCAGAATTCTAAACGATTTTTTTTCACATTCTCTGATATTCTGATAAGAAATCTGACTATTTTGATTAATAAAAAATTTTAACTCTTGAAAAAATTTTTCAACTTTTAAAAGAATACAAATTTGTTTACATACTTAGTTGCAGTTGAAACATAGTCCATATCCAAAATATCCAGTCCATAATTTGGTACAGCTTTCGAAAATAGTTCCAGTGCTAAACCTGAAAGAAAACTTTTGATGCTATCAAAATTAATTTATACAGAAAAGTGCTATCAAAAAACAAGGGATAAAATTATCTCCTAAGATTATCAGCCATAACTGACCTGTTAAGGCAATTGGAGGGTGATCAGGAAGATCAGTAAAGCCATTGAAATCACCGGCATACAAAGTCTTTCTTATGCGCTTGCTCATAATAAGGTGGTCAACAAAAACCTACATAAAATAATGTTTATAGAAATATATGAACTATGAAAACAACACAATATGAAAATTAATTAGAAACACATATTAGTACTTGAAATGTATATACTTAATCCAGCTATCCTAAGAAAATCCTACACGAAGACTTCCCTTTTTAACTCTTTGAAATCCAGACTCTTTGCTAAGCTGTATCCTCAAAATACCCGAAATACTTTTCCAGTTTCACAGCAATTTCCTCCCCTCCCCATCCATTAATGCAGAAAATAGGTGTGAAGATTTCCAATGACATCCTTTGTACTTTCTAACAAAGATTCCATTAGCCTTTGACCCCGTTCTTTATAAAACTATTCTGAAGGTCAGATCAACAAGCCTTTCCGCCTTTGTTATGATCACAACTGAGATTTTGTTTATTTCTGTATTTTTATAGGAAGGAATAAATTGTTTAAAAATAAATATAATCCTTAAATTTTTAAACTGCTCTTTTTATTGCTGTTCAAAGCTTAAAGCACACTGTACCAGAAAAGAATCAACAACGAAATGTCACGATCAACCAAAAGATAAGGAAACCTCTTAGAACAAGCTGTCTGCAGTAAACTGATATAATGCATTTGGGGAAAGTGCACCTGTTACTTAGGGGGAGGGAAGAAAAGAAGATTATAATCTCGGCCGTTTTTGGGCGGTTCTGGTTGTTTCAATGTAGGGCCGTGTCGGGCAGATTGGATGTGAAGAAGTTAAGACAAATAGCTTATGGGTGCTTTACCATATTTAATAAAACAAGCAATAAAAACACATATGTCTAAGATGTAATTTTACAATAAACAAATTTTATTAAGGTTAGATTATGTTATTTGAACAAAGCAAAGCACACAAGGACTATCTGCCTGACAGGAAGAATGCCTTAAGAAAACTTCCTAAGGGAAACTGGTTCGTAATCATATTAAACCTGCAGAAAACCATAAAAACCACCTATGCAGCCAACCCATTTATCTAGGATTTGAATTCCCAGCATTCAGTATCTTAACCACTCCAATTAAATATGTCTTTTGATTTCCCTGCGACCTTCATCGCAGAGTGCTCAATTGGAAAGGTAAGAAACAGAATTTGCTGAACTACGATTAGTTAGTTTTCAAAATCAGCAAAACTATCAACTTAACACGTGATACATGATGTCAGAAGCATTTCACCAATCATCAGAGGAATAAGTTAGTTCTATTTTACATACCATTTCCCTTGGCTGCCTTCTATTTAATTTCATACTTTTTTTTTTTTTTTGGTATTTTTTTTATCTTGTAATTTTTAAAAAAACTTCAATTGTTTCACTGTATCAATAGATACAGTGAACCAACAGCAGCTGGAGTCTGCACATACCTTAAAATCATTCAGTACATGTTGTCCAATAATGAAAATGATTCAGTATTGCTTAATCAGTTGATCACTTTCATTTGTATGTGTTTATCGTACGGGGTTTATGCAAAACTTAAAAAAAAAATAATAATAATAATTCCAGCTGCAGATAAAAACATTTCAAAAGAGCAAATTTAACACTTGGTGTTATTTGAAAAATTTTTTACAAAAATCACAGCTAGATGCAACAACCAAATGCAAAGAAATAATGATCCTTGAGCATAATGATCTACTGGCCACAACATTCTTTCAATTACCGTATTTGACAGCATATAAGACACACTTTTTTTCCTAAATTTGGTCTCAAAAAAGTTACCTGCGTCTTATACGTGAAGGACACAGTTAACTTTCAATACTAAATGCTATTTTTAGCCCATATAATGGTCTAGACACACGTAACTTTTTCTACATCTGCCATAATTATTTTGTGCATGCGTGAAATATCTGTCGCCAAAAAGCGCCAAAGCTCGAAGCTGATGTCGTAGTTCGAAAAGGTTCGACAGTCACATTACGTCTATGGAGCCTTTCCTTCTTAACATAGACTTTCTTTGACTCAGCCGACACACGTGTTGGTATCGGTGCTTAAAACTGTTTGTTTTAAAAAAATACCCTGGAAAATATGAATATAGGACACAAGAGATTAAGCTATACAATTCAGTATAAACTAGGAGTGTTAAACTACGCCAAAGTGCATGGAAACAGAGCAGCAGCAAGGCATTTCAGTCCATCACCTACTGAAAAAAAATAGCTTGCCGTTTGTTAATTTTTCCTTAATAAAAATATGTTTGGTAATTGCATTCAATGATTGTTTATTTGGCTTTTACAAAACACGAGAACTAAAACCACATTTTAAGTTACTGTGGTACCGCGCTGAAACTTTTTTTCCTTGTGTGTAGCCTTCTAAATAAGGGTGCGTCTTATATGCCGTCAAATACGGTACCCATAACATAGTTATCACTGGGATCCCAAGACACTTAAGAGTACAAGACACTTAAAAGAGTTTAGTTTTAAAGCAAATAAAAGGCCCTTTTTGATTATTCACATCCCCAGAAAGGATTCATGCCTGCAAAACAGTTATGTGGCAACCCAAGATGTCAAAATACATTTATGTAGTAACCTAGTACTGCACATAGATTTCTACCTACCAAATCTGCCAATCACTTTTCTGATCAGTGTTTGTTTTTGCACATTTTCTCTTGAAATAAATAGAAGGGACTATGGAGTTTACCAGCTGATAAAAAAGCTCAGTAGAGAATGCAAAAAATTCACATTCCATCAAGTTGTACTTCTCAAATGATTGAATTTCAGGAAATGCAATGCGAAAAAACAAGCAAAGTGTTAGAATACAAATTGGAAATTGGTTTCAAGATAGCCGTACCTAATTGCAACTGTTACTCATTTCATTTATTGTTGGACAAAAAGTATATATATATATATTATATATATATATATATCGGGTCTATGAAGGCAAAACACAGTAACATGTAGGCATCACTCCAAATTTTATCTTTTATCAATGGCTGATATTATAAACAGATGGCCTTCTTTCCAAATATCATGGCTTATACTGGTTGCTGATATTATAAATAAGTAGCCTTACTTTACAATATTGGTAACAGAACTAGATTTTTCTATCATTTTGTTACAACAATGAAAATCTGGAATTTCCCGAAGAATGAAGCAGACACTATAAGCCTCTTTCAACAATAGTAAATTTTATCATGACAGTTCTTTTGTTCAAATGGTTACACTATGTGGTTGCAAGTAGGTAAGAAATGTCACTGGAGGTGTAAAGTCATTGGTTGTCAGCATACTCTTGGGCCTTCACATGATAAACTGGTTCTCGGGACTTTGGATTCCATTTAGAAAAGCCTTGGGCTGATGAACTTGCTTCTATGGCATGGCATCAACATCAGATGGATTTTAGCCCAGAAGCAACTGCACTCTGGAACAATTATACACATGAATTAGTTTCCAGTATCTGCAGAAACAATCTACAAAGAAGACTGAGGACCATGATGTATCCTTTAAAACAACAAAACTCTCTTAATAAAGTAATTGCTGGCAGCTACTTCCCTAGGCATAGGTTTGCTTGGTGGCATTTGCCAGAAAACCATGAAATGTTTTCTCATATCACTGCCTAATCAAAGAGCTACTATGCTTTTCAAAAGAATTGTTGAACATGTTGAGGACAGCTTAATCATTTTTCAGATTGCTGGCATATGCATAAAACTGAAAAATTAAAGAAGCCGGCTTTAAACATTTGAAAGCAAACCATTGCTATAACTTTGTGGATCCTGAAACCGAGACTCATATGCAGATTATAAAGAGACTCTGGGGATTTGCAAAATGACAAAAGAAGTTTAGAGGCACTTGCGAGACTGTAGCTGAGTTACAACTAACACAAATTTCAATGCAACATAATTTTTTAAGTGAAGTTGAGAAACCCCATTATAATTCAAATTTATTATGTTTGTGATATCGGATAATATCGGCAATGTTCGCACTGGCAACAACTCAAAAATCAGCCTATAATCCCTATAACCAATAAGAACCTAAAAAATTTACATAAATGAAATTTTAGAAAGCGGAATCATCTTCAAATACAACCATGGTGGGATAATTACCTCCAAAAAGCGCATGCATCTTCAGTGGCTGGGGTGCAATGCCGTATATGTGTAATTATCCACACAACAATGTGTGTAATTAGCCAATTTTTTTTAAAACGATAACAGATTGTTACATACACGGAGTGACAAATGATAGTGCCAAGTTTGTGCAATTTTTTAAAGCAAAAACTATATGTGGAAAGAACAGTTTGTGCAAGTCTCTGATATTATTTTAAGTAGAAACAAATAACTTGCTCATGGGGTACAAAAAAATTACATAAGGGCTAAGAGTTACATTAGGCATTTTTTTTAATTTTTATTTTTTTCATTTTATTGGTCAATTGCTCTTATACAGAGTTCTCAATATACTACCATTTTGAAAACGGTTGTTGCCTTCTGCATATCAATGCAGCAAAAAATTAGTCACCACCAAGTTGGCGAATTTTAAGTAGGGCAGTGCGGGTAATCTGGAAGTACCAATATAAATTGTAGCCTTGAACTGGATGGATAAGAGCAGACTTGTTCTCACTATCAGTAGATTATTCATGAATGGAATCGAAAAATATTCATAAATAATCGAACAAAGACAGAAGTAAATAGGACAAAGCTACATACTAATCCTATGCGAACGTGTCAGAGGATACTACAGTTCAATCAAAATTTCATGATTCATACCAGTATCAATGAATCTAATTCATCAAATATATGTCGCAATATGCACAAGGCCATCACATACTCAGTATAACTTAAAGGAATTAAAGAATGTTTTGCAACTACGAAAACATAAAAGGAATACCCAACATGTTAATATGAAAAGTTTTCAACAAATTGTATAAATCTCTTGTTACTTGCAATACACAGAAAGGGGTGCAAATTCTTCAGTTGTCCCCGGGCGCTGGAATCCTAGCTACACCACTGTTAACCTGCGAGAACCCGCACCGGGTATGACATGCCCGATGCATTTTCATTCAACGTTTTTGTTACTTTCTTCTTATCAGATTAAGCAAGAATTTCGTGTAGTTGTATTCAAAGTCACATTCTTTTTAGCAGAGGAAAAACTAGCTCAGCTCTAAAAATAGATTTTGAGATACGGGTGTCGGGGATATGTCATACCTGTGCTAGTCCTCGCGTCAGTCAGATCTTTCCTTTTTTCTGTCAGCTTAGTGAATTATGACGCGCTATTTGAATTACGATGAAGAAAATTTATATTTTCAACACCTTATCGAGACCACTTTTAAAGTGAAAATAGGTCGACATGTACATGGATAAAGTTAAAAGAGTGTGCAATGCCATTTTTGTGCAATTCGAGGATTTTTTTCTTTAAGTGAAAATAGGTCGGCGTGTACATGGATAAAGTCAAAGGAGTGCGCAATGCTGTTTTTATGCAATTCGGGGATTTTTTTAAGTGAAAATAAGTCAATGTGTACATGGATATAGAGTTTGTGTAATTATTTGTCTTGTTATTTTGGCTTTGTGTAGCGGTGACTTTTGGTGCAAAAATTGACGCTTTGCAAGCCAAAATAACGAGTCAAAGTATTGTACAAAATCGGTATCCATGTACCGCCAAAAATCGCCAAGAGGTACCCTAAACGGTAAAAGTATATTTTAGGGTACCCCTTGGCGAAACTTGGCAATTTTTGGCGGTATATGGATACCGAGTTTGTGCAATTCTTTGACTTGTTATTTTGGCTTGCGTAGCGGAAATTTTTGGGGCAAAAATCGTCACTACACAAAGCCAAAATAACAAGACAAACAATTGCACACACTCGATATCCATGTACACATCGACCTATTTTCACTTAAAAAAACATCCCAGAATTGCACAAAAATGGCATTGCGAACTCTCTTGACTTTATCCTACACATCAACCTATTTTCACTTAAAAAAAAATCAGTAACTTTCACAAACTAAGCTTTGCACACTCCCTTGACTTTGTCCACGTATACATCGAACTATATTCAAAGTCAAAGAAGCAAAACAAAAAAATATATAATCTGAACTACATTTTAAATCAAACAATGAAATAACATAAAAAAGGAAATTCATCTTAGCACTACACAAAGGAAATATCCACTTACCTTATTTACGAATTTACGCGTCTTCAGTCAAACACAATTCCTTAACAGCATCCAAACACCTCCCAAAATTATCTGAACTAGCATCTGTATACTGGTGTCGCCACATAAATTCACAAAAATATCCTCCGTCCGAAAATATCTGATGTTTGACCATACGCATTTCCTTCCTCCAAACAGGACACTTAATAATGGCTAAGTGAACCTTCATTTACACACCAGTCAATTAGTGCTTTTTTCCCTTTCTTTCCAAATCCTACAGAAACTTCAAGTTAATCTTACCACATTCAGCCAATTTACCGTGTAAACCACAAAATAACAACGAGCTAATCCATCATACACAAGCCCTGACCCAAAATCCGACACACACTTTCCAAATTTTTTCCCATGATTCAAATTCACCGCAACCAATTATATCATAATAGGGTTTTCATAGCATTCAACTACTCAGGTTGTCATAAATGAGACAACAACTTGACGATAAATGAAACAACAATTTCACAATAATACAAAGGGTACCCTAAAGTCAACTCTAACCACCCTAAACTATACTTTTACCCTGACAATTGGTATACGGGATATGAGCTAGTGCAAGAACTATAGAAAAATAAACTTAACAATGGTTGAAGCACTTGGAACAAAATAAAAGAAAAATACCGCCTGGATTTTTGGAGAAAAAAGAGCTGTACTCTTCAGTCTTTGGATTTCAAAAAGAAACAACAATTGTTTCATATTCTGCAAAAAAGAACAATAATGTAGTTATGTTACCCACAACTCATACTGATGATAAAATAGATGAAACCATCATGGAATTAAAACAAAAAACAAATATCATCACGCTTTATAATCTTACAAAAGGAGCTGTGAACGCTGTCGACGAAATGGCTCCAGCATACATTACAGCAAGGATATGAAATCGCTGGCCAATGGTTATTTTATCTTACATGTTGAATGAGGCTGTTATTAATGTCAGGATTTATTGATGTCCATGAAACATCCTACCACACAGTTCAGAAGCAGACGTTTCTTTCTGAAAGCACAGGAACTCGTTCTTTCAGAACAACACAGAAACCATAAGCCTGAAACTCTAAGCACTTCGAAGAAACTGGAAATCAATAATAGTGAACCACTTGTATAAACTCTCAAAGCAAATTATAAACGATGTGCATTTTGTCCATGTAATAAGGACAGAAAATCAAGATTTATGTGCCAAAAATGCGAACTAAGTCTGTGTTGGAACATCAGTATGTAGTTTGCCAAATTTGTCTTTAAACATGTATGTATGCATAATTAAATTCACTAAAATTCATTAGTGTATTATTTTGCAATAGTTAATTACATAAGGTTTGCTTATAAACAGTATTAATTGATATTTCAATAGCAGAAATGAACTAGGGTATGACATACCCGGCACGAGTTCTCATGCTCGAAAATGGGTGCATGTTCTCGTGGATTAACACTCACATGTTTTCTATTACCAATTCAGTTTGTTTTCTAACATTTACATATTTATGATCAAATAACTCAAATAGAAGAACATTTTATTTTTAAGGTATATTTTAGGAAAATGATTCAGGTTAAAAAGATTCCATCACACCCTAAAATACTTAAGTGCAATAAATATAAATTAAAATATCCATAAATGAATGTTTTATTTTTCGTTTCTTAAATAATCACTAAGAATACTAGACGGTAAAAAATTACTGCCCACACAACATTTAAGAAAGGAATGCCTTTTGCATGCGTTTTTAGCATATGGTTTCTTGAAGCAGTATTGCAAGTTTCCATATCCTTTTTAGTAAGGTTATTTGACAAGAGATTGCAACGATGTTATCAATTGTTTTTAGTATAAATACACAGTTAAAATATTACACAAATATTTCACGGATTTTTAATTTAAATACGTAAAGGGCTAAATCAAAAATAAAAGAAATTACTTCTTCCAGCTCATCCAAATCGCACACATTATCAATCATTTCAGGATTTTCCATTTCCATTTCCATCTTATTTGGTGAACTTTTCTTTTCTGAGTAAAGACAGCTTTTAGAAAGCAGATCTGTTACGCCAGACAGAGTAGAGTTACAATGTGATATCATGGTTTTCCTACAGTTGCAGCACAATTCTTGTACGAGAAACTTTCAGTTTGTAAAGTTTCTAACTTTTCACTTTGCACCTACCCTTCTATCATCCGCTGGTTAGATTCAACAAAATCGTTCGTGAAGTAACTTTCCAAAACGAAGCAAGTTGCAAATTAGCCACACGAACTATAAAACTCTGCGCATGACGTCATGTAACAGAATCGTTCGCGAAGTACAAGTCGCTGATTAACCACAATATACATACATTGAACTGCGGTGCTTAACCACCAGGGCGCCTGGACGCCATAGCCCTACCCCTCATCGAATAACATGATAAAAGTTTCGAATTATGAGAAATATAACTGAATGTGCTAAATAATTAAATGAGTAAGAGTTTAAATATATGATTAACCACAAGAATTATAAAATTCTCTCATGATGTCATGTAGAACAAAACCAGGACCTAAGAACATGGAACTTTACTTTTGTATTTATTTATTTTAACTTACTTAGATAGGGACCGAAGAGACGGAAAGAAAAATTATGCCCTGTATGCAACAATTTATTACTATTATATACACAACAATTTATTACTATGACATTGATAGTTTAGTTCAAACTTTCACCACTGATATCATCAAAGCCCACTTGGATGCTCAAAAAGAAGTTCCCCAGGAACGCTTGCATAGAAGTAATGAATTAAAACAACTTATTAAAGGAAGCAATGCAACCAGGAGGCAATTTCAGAGGACCTGTAACAGGGAGGACAAACATAGATTCAACCAACTCTGCAATGCCGTCAAGTCTCTGCAAGCACAACAAAGCTGGACCAAGTACCTCCAAGGTCTCTCCACAGATGATAACTCACTATAGAAAGCTATTAAGAGGTATACAAAATGCCACAATAACATTCCGATTCTTAAAGGCCCTCAACGGATCCATTACACTGAAATTGAGAAAGCAGAACTTTTAGTTCAGCATCTGGAATCTCAATTTCGCATTAACAATGACACTCCCGCAGAAAACCTTGTTCACTAATTTAATTTCACCTTCTCAAGGCCAAGCACAGACAACATAATTCCAGCCTTATCATCAGAAGTCTATGCCATCATCAAAAACCTAAAGCGAAAGAAAAGCCCAGGACTTGATGCAATCACCAATTGCATGATCAAGAGGTTCCCTCTCAAAACAATCTTCACTCTTACTAAGATCAGTAACATCATTATTAACTGGCAGCAATTCCTACAGTTTTAAAGAACTGCAAAAATTGTTCCTATCCTAAAGCCTGGCAAATCAGCATCAAAACCTGAGTCCTGCAGACCCATCAGCCTCCTCTCATCTATGTGCAAAATCTTCGAAGCAGTAATTCTGAAGCGAATCAATGACCACCTGCAAACAACATCATTATACCGCATCGATTTGGATTTAGGAGGCACCTTTTAACGACCAATCAATTATACGGGGTTGTAGAGAAAGTTTTTGAAGGCATGGCATCAAGAAAAGTCACCGGTGGACTATTTATAGATATCGCCAAGGCTTTTGATAGAGTATGGCTGGATGCCCTCACATACAAATTACACTTTCTGTGTTTCCCAGACTACATCATAAACATTACTAATTCTTACCTGCAGGTAGACACTTTGTCGTTCACGTATCAGAAACAAATTCTACTAGACACACTATCCTTGTTGGCATCCCTCACAGATTCTTGCTTGGACCCACATATTTCAATATATATGTGAACGACATTCCCACTACACACGGCACAACATTAGCTATGTATGCAGATGACACAGCACAAAGTGCATTCATTGGTCCATTTATCCAACGGCTACAAAACTACATACACACACTAGAGACGACTTTCCAAATGGAAAATCCTTGTAAATGGGGAGAAGACCAAGGCAGTTTTATTCACAGGAAAAACTAAGAATCTACAGTTCTATGGTACCAGTATTCCATGGGCCAAGCAAGTCCTTTATCTGGGGGTGATCCTCAATAATACTCTTACATGATCTCCACACATCACATCTATTATCCAAAAGCTTCGAGTTCGTAAAGCGAAACTTTACTTCTTAATTTCTCGGAACAGTGTGTTATCTGTAGATAATAAGTTACTTATTTACAAGTCCATTCTCAGATCATTACTCTGTTATGCAAGTCCATTTTGGGCACATACAAGAAAAACTAATAGGCAAAAACTTCAGCTTTGCCAAAACAGTGTACTGAGGCAAATTGTAAATGCAGAATGGTACATTCGAAATAACAGAATCCATGAAGAACTTGGTGTTGAGCTGCTCAGATCTCATTATTACAAACTTGCCAAAAATTTTCACAATAAACAACCCAAGCATAAAAATATGCGATTATGATTTCAATAGCTGAAATAACATTGACAGGGCCTTGGCCCAGTAAAATATTTGGATAATGTAATCCACACTCTCCTCCTTCCTGTCTTAAACTGCTATGTACTACCACAAGTAGGTTGTCTGTATTCTCTGTATATTGTGTTTTTGTTTTTGTATTGTGTATGTTGCTCGTATGTTTATTATTTCTTCTGTTATTCCATCTGTATTGTGTATTTGCATTGGGTATTTTGCTTGCATATTTTATACTTTTATGGATTCAGACTTCCAACATTTTCATTTATCTTTACTGTGACTTTAACACCAGCTCGACAGCCTATGTGCCTAAAATCATTAACAGATTAATTTCCCAGCTTAATTTTGCTCATGTTAGTTCCTAGTACTTTAACTTCTTTCTTGCTCATATCAAAATTTAATATTAACATAAAAAAGAAATTATATACTGATTTGATAGATTAATCCTACTATCTTTCGAAATCACTATTTATTCTACATGGGGTAGAGCCTAGGCTCAGGCACCCAGGTGTACCAAGTACCGTTCCACAGGGAGGTCGAATTTATTACTATCTTATGTATTGCTGATAATTTTCAGCGTCCAGTGGAACGGTGCGTTGGTACACCAGGGTACCTGGGCTGAAGGCACTACCCCTTGTAGAACATGTTAACTTTGCGAATGTTGGCAAGAAATAACCTATTACTTTATAGAATTTGGATAAGCTAAATATTAAGAAACTTCGTTAAAAAGATTAAACCAAATGATTCAAATAAAAAATTTTGAAAAGTGGGAAAAACCAGGGAATAATTGACTTGTAATATTTAAGGATAGATAAAACACTAATAATTAGAGGGTCAGACCAGGTCGTCGAGCTGATGATCAAGTGGTGATTACTGAAGCATAAAGTTCAAAGTAGAAAGTAATTACTCCCTACTAGTGTATTCCATAAGTTGCTGCACAGTCTGGAACACAGTACGAAGTTTCTTCACAATATTAACATTCTGGAGAAAACTGAATATCTCCATGATGAGTTTGCTTAGTTCCTGGATGTTCGGGCTCGATCCCCATTTACAAGGATAAAAGTCCATCAAACATGCTAGGCACAGAGGTTCGTCTGTTTTTAATTTTATCACTGTATTTGGTCCTACTAGACGTCTGTGCTGCAGGTTTGTCCGTCCTGGGTAGCTCAGGGATATTCTCTGCTGAACCTTCAGGAGCAGGTTGCCGCTGGGGTCTTGGTTTTCTTCGCAAATCCCGCCTTGTACGTCTCACACCCACGAAAGCTGCTCACGTAGTCTTTGCCGCAGTATATGCAGCGTGGCTTTTCATCCGGTTTTTAAGACATGTTCCTGCGGTGCAAATCTCCACATTTGACACAGCGCACAAGATTGTTACACAGATGCTGCGTATGTCCAAATGCCTGGCAGCGAAAACACTGCACAGGCCTTTTCCTCGGCTTGTACCTTACTACACGAATGTCGAAACTGAACATATGGTTCAACTGAAAGATGTGATTACCTTCAAAGTTCCGCTTCAATTCAACGAAGAAGATAGGCAGCTTCACCTGGGCACCATTCTTAGAGCTTGAAAACTGCTTAACTTTTACTGCCGGAATTTTCTCCTGACTAGATCGTCGTGAATCGTATTTTCCTGAATCCATGCCGGAAGATCCTTAATGATCACCCTGATATTTCTCTCGTTCTGAAGCCGAAACGTATGAAACGCGACGCCTCTTAGGATTTTCATCTTCTTTAAATCAGCTTCATTTTTCACATGCACATGAATCAACTTCAACTTGGCAGACTATTCGTGACTTCGGTTCAATTCTGGGCGAAACGTTCGTCGATCACTAGCCAATCAGGAGTGTCACTGGGGAACACAATGGGCGGGGGCGTGTCAACTTCTAGCGCTCCTTCTCGTTGCTGGTTTGTTCTAAGACCTGGAAACGATTGCTTTGCAAGACGTCCATCTTTTCCACAACTTGCGACACCTTCGCTGTTTTTCTGGGTAATTGCCACCCCATATCTGTCTCATTTTTCCTTTCCTTATGCTCAGCAGGCTTCTCGGAAGTTTCCCGCTCTGTAGTCTCCTTATCACGTCGCCCATTCTCTGATTCTTCCATAGACGGTAATCTATACAATTCCTCCCATGAAGAAGCTCCGCGTATGCCCGCCAATTTCATCAGCATTTCCATCCTTTTGGTCAAGTCATCCACAGACTGACTGCTAGTAGAGGGTTCTTCACCATTCGCATCCATCACTTTCGCCTTCTTATTTTTATTTTTTCTCTGCTTCTGTTCTAACAAAAATCTTCTTTCCTCAACGGGAAGGTTTTCTTTGACTTAAACGAGACTTCAGATTCTCCTTCCCTAACTTCCACATCCGAATCGTTGTTCCTTCAAAAGGACATCTTAATTTACCCGAAGGTAAATACGTAAAAGAAAATTCACTCACTGACCGCCTACGGTTGCTGTGTCAGATATGTAACAAATATGAGAGATCCGCTCTTCGAACTACACACCTGCAGTCCTCGACTCGCTCACATTGCTGATAATGTCGTACTGCGCGTAATTTATCATTTTGACATCCCCATATTTGTGTAACATGCCTATTGGTGATCGTAGCGACAGCTAAACGGCACCTCGAATTCATCTGCAACGACGAATAGATGTAATTCGATTAATTTCTAAAATCAGCAGAGCCGGAACTCAGTGGAAAGCCGTCAGGAAGAAGGGAAAATAAATAAACAAGCAAACATACCATCTGGAGTATAAAATTAAAATAAAGAAACAAAGACTAAAAGATTTCAGATTTT